AGAGTCATAGAAATGTTCATAATTGCAATTAACTTTCTACACATATTGATATATATTTTAAGATTGTGTACATTGATTTATCAAATACATTTTTTTCTAAATTTTACTATTTTGTTATTGTTTAGACAAAACATATACCAGTCCAACAGTTTGTACATATACAACTTAGTGACATTTAGTACATTCTTTGAGTTGTGCAATCATTCTCACCTTCCTTTTGAGGTGTTCTTCCCTCATTAACATAAACTCACTGCCATCTAAGTTTACTATCTAGTCTTTTGAGTCACTGGTGTCAATTTGATTTCATATAGATAGTTCTTTATTATTTTAATTATTATTGTGCTTTAGGTGCATATTTACAGAGCACAGTTTGTTTTACATTCAATATTTCATGTACATTTGGTTTCACTCCCCAATTACCCTCCCTAATCCTAACCCACTCTCCTCCCCTCCCTTCCCAGTACCTCCTCCCCCCATGCCCCTCATAGTTATGCACTCCTGTAGCTCTTGCATTCCCTCCATGCGAATGTTGCCCCTCTGGTGCCCTGTGGTCTATTGCTCCAAGGAATGCATCTCCATAGAGTATGTGGGTGCATCACCCTGAATTGAGTGGTCTGCATGTACATCTTGTTTACTATTGGGCTGAGGGCCAGCCCCTGGGAGTGAGTTTTATTCCAGGCCTGAAGTGTATCCCAGGGCCATAGTATCGGGGGTCCCACCAGGCCCCATCTGACCAGTAATTCTGGTCATTATTGTGTTCTTGGATTTTGTTCCTTGTTTTTCTTCCCACTCTATTCAGGATCTCCAGTTTTGATCTTTTCTCGAGTGGTTGGTTTTGGTGGCCAGGCACCATCTAGTTCTTCTGCCATATAGATAGTTCTTAAAAGAATATAATGCTCAAGGTAGGCCTTTTTCAATAACTCAATAGTTAAGCTAAAGTATTTTCAGTTTTAATATGACTTCAGGGGATATTTTTGGTTTAAGGTTTAAAGGTTATTTCGAGGCAATGTTTTCAGGGGTTCAGCCGCCATCCATGGCTCCAGAAAGTCTGGAGTCTATGAGAATTTGAAATTCTGTTTTGTATTTTCCCTTTTTTAATCAGGAATCAAAATGTCCAGTAATGGTAGCTGGGCAATATCCAGTTCTTCTGGTCTCATGGCAGAATTCAAGGAGGAAATTAAGAACCCATTTCACATCTTCTTTCCATTCTTGACTCACCTTCTTCCTCCGTTACTGCAGGCAAACAGAGACCAATTGTTGTGCATTGGATAGTCACATGCAAGCTTTTAAGACATCAAGCAATGCACAATGAACTAGGAGGTAGAACAGAAGCACTAAATCGGTCATTAGGCCAATTAACTGTTATGTCCCATGAAACCATGACCCTAAACTGCCAAACCAAGAAACCAAACCCCATGAGTTTTGGTTGTATGTAAGCAGCCTCAGCAGCTACTCTCTTTTGTTGTTTGTCATTGTAAATATGTCTATCACACAACTTTTATCAATTCAGCTTTTCAAAGGTATACACTTATTGACAGCAATTACAATAATCAGCTGTGAGAACTTACCTCTAATCAATGCAAGTTTTCCATCACTGTTAACCCTCCTTTTCTGGCTCCCACCTGCCCGCCTCAAAAAACAAACCAGACCTATTGCCATAGAGTTGATTCTGACTCATAGCCACCTCCATTGGCCTTCCAAGGTTGTAAATCTTTACAGAAGTAGATTGTCTCATCTTCTTACTAAGGAGCAGCAGCTGGTGGGTTTGACCACCAACCTTCTAGTTAGCAGACAAATGTCTTACCCACTGTGTGACCAGAGGTCCTTTCTTCTGCTCCCAGTAGCCACTAATCAACTCTGGTCTCTTTACATTGGTCTTTTCTCATATATAAGTGAGGTCATGTAATATTTGTCCTTTTGGATTAGCTTATTTCACTCAGCATAATGTCTAAGCTCCATCCATACTATAGCATCATTTAAGAGTTTGTTTCTGCTATTGACTGAGTAGTATTCCATTGTATATGTGTATTACATTTTATTTATCCATTCATCTGTTGATAGGCATTGAGGTCATTTCCACCTTTTGACTATTGTGATAGTGCTGCAATGAATATTGATGTACAAGACTCCTTTTGAGTATCTGCTTTCAAATCTTTTGGGTATGCCTAGGAGTGGGATTGCTAAGTCACATGGTAGTTCTGTTTCAGTTTTTGGAGGAACCACCACACAGTTTTCCACAATGGCTGTACCATTTTGTATTCCCAACAACAATGGATAAGGGTTCCAGTTTCTTCACATCCTCACCAACATTTGCTATTTTCTGTTTTTTTTTTTTTTAAATCTTAGCCATCCTAGAAGAGTGAAATGGTACCTCATTATGGCTTTTATTTGCATGTCTCTGATGGCTAATGATGCTGTGCATCTTTTCATGTGTTTGGTAGCCATTTGAACATCTTCTTTGGTGAATTGTCTATTCAAGTCTTTAGCTTATTTATGATTGGATTATTTGTCTTTTTCCTGTTAAGTTGTTCAAGTTTTAAAAATATATTTTTTATTAGTTCTTATTGGATATATGTTTTGTGAAGATAATCTCCCAGTCTGTGGCTTATCTTTTCACCTTTTTGGTAACTTAATATGAACATTTTTTTTTTATTTTTATGAGTCTTATTTATTTTGTCTTTTGCTATTTATGCCTCTGTTTTTATATTAGATAATATTGTTATTGTATTATGTAATTGTTGAAAGCTAGGCCTGACAGCATTGTCTCTGCTTATCCTTCTAAGAACTTCATGTTTTTAGCTTGCACATTTAGTCCTCAATCCAGTTTGAATTTGTTTGTGTATGGCATGAAGCAAGTATTCCATTTCAATTTTCTTCATGTGGGAATCCAATTTTCCCAGCAGATATGTGTGTGTGTGTGTGCGTGTACTTCATTCTCACTATCATTGGAAACCAGTCTCTCTCTCTCTCTTTGTGGTATACTTCTTTTAAGAGAATTGAGATAGTTACAAACATTTTCTCATTTTTCAACCAATAGGTATAGCAAGCAATGCTACATGAATCCCTTCCTTTTTATATATTGTATTTCAGAGGTTATCATGAATTCCTGCCAGTGCAGAGCTCCTGATAGGGCAGCGGCAATAGCAGGTGCTTGGGAGGAAAAGCATGACTGTGAAGTGCCTGCTTGCGATAGAACTGCCATCACTTGGTGGCAGAATAGTCTGAACATCTTTATCATTTATGCATGTGTAGAAATAGCAACATCCTTTTCCATTTTGTTTAACTATAGGGGCTCTGGTGGCACAGTGGTTAAGGCATTTGACTGCTAACCAGAAAGTCTGCAATTCAAACCCACCAGCTGCTGTGTGGGAGGAAGATGAGGTTATGTACTTCCTTAAAGATTTACAGCCTTGGAAACCCTATGGGGGTTGCTATGAGTTGGAATCAACTCCCTAGCAGTTGGTTTTATCACTTGGTTAATAACCAGTGAGATTTGTAAACCTTTCACATCTTTGTGAATCTATTTTATTTCAGAGTAAAGGTGACTTTATGACCCTAATTATTATTAATGTGACTTATTTCTCTATTTGTGGGAGTAGGAGGAAGAAAGAAGACAAGGCGTACTGATTATATGTATCACCATCAAGAAGATTATGGTCACACACTCTTACCCATGAAAGGATGGTGGATGGAACCTTTCTTTTCTATCGTTTATCAGAGTACTGAAACTTGGGTGATTCTGTGATATTTTAATAGACAAGTGTGTCAAGCGTGTATGTGAAGATGATGAAGGTGTTAGAGTAATCAACATTTCAGAAGTAATCAATGTTTGAAGATCCAAAGATGTCAAACGTCAAGAACAATACACATAACTCGAGATGCTGCCACCCTGAAATTACTGGGATATTGAAGTAAGACTGAGTTGTCATGTGACCCCAGAAAAGGAACTGCAAGGCCAACTAATTAATTAAAACATTTCAGGAAGCCCGACAACCCCTGTATTCATGAAGCCTGCGGGGCAGCTACCTTTGACCTGCTAGAAAGAGAAGCTATCGCCGCTGGTCGTTTTGACTCCTGGGTCGGCCACCCACTCTGAACGTGGTGTGCACGGTGCCCGGGTCGCCTGTGCCGCCGCCTGCCAGGCGGGGCGAGCGTCCGTAGCCGTTCTGTTCAGAACCACCTGAGCGGACAGCTCCTCGAGCCGAAAGCCAATTGAGGACCTGGCCCGGAGCGTAGCAGGCCCGTGCTGCCCAGGCTGCTGCTCCCGCATCCGGCCTCCTCTTCCTGTGAAGTAGCGCCGGCTCACCAGGACTGCCGTCCAGAGTGGTGTTTTGCAGAAGGGACTCCCGAGGCTCCCCCAAATCTCCTGCTTCCGGCCTGTCCGGGCCCGCGCGCCCCGCCCAGCCGGGAGGTTGGGGGCGGTCCCGGCGCAGGGTCCGTCCCCGCCCAGGACCCGCCCCCTACCCGCCCCACTGTCGGGCGGTGGTTCCGATTGGCCAGGGCCCCTGAGGGCGAGGCTGAGTCGCCTCTCGCAGCTCCTGTGTTGGGAAGGTCGGCGGGCTCGGCGGGCGTAGCGGGGGTACCCGCTTGGAGGGCGGTGGCGGGCTGGGCCGCCAGCACTGGGGGTACCCGGCGCGCAGCGGCTGTACCGGCGGCGGCCTAACCCTCCGCACGCCGCAGCAGTTCGAGGTCTCGGTTTCGCGCGCGGGGCGTGCGTCCCCAGCGGCTAGTGAGCCCGCGGCCCGGGTGCTCGCAGCTCGGAGGGCCGCTGTCCCGGCCGGGCGCTGGGCGAAGG